ATATGCATGAACCAATGGAAATGAAGATATGAAAATGGAAGAAGGAAGAATAGACTGATAGACAAAGGGGTGGACATGGACACATGGATGGGTGATAGAGAAGGCAGAAAAAAACTGGGTCCACAGTTAAGTTTGTCACATCATATGCTCTAGGGCTGGAAAAGGTAACAGAGGAGCACTCTACAATTAGTCTCTTAGGAGAGGTCTCCTCCTCTGGTTTGTCTCTTGGGCCTCTTATCGGGTGAGGAAAGCACTTGCTCCCCTCCTTCCTACCTAGTTTCCTTGTCTCTGTAAGCTGACCAGCCCCTCTGCTCAGAAATTCTCTCTCCATCCCCACGATAGGGAAAGCATGGTAGAAGGGGTATTCTAGGCCAGGTTCCCCTCAAGCTATTCCTCTGACTCAGCTTGGGGCATAGGAAAATGGGTCGACAGGGGAAAGGGTCAGTGTTGGCTGGGTCAGGAGGGTGAAGCCCTAGAGTCCTCAGATGTGAGATACAGGAATTGGATCTGCTTCCAGAAAACTTTCCCTTTAGCGATACTTGTCTGAGGGAAGACCAGGTCTCAAATGACAGATGCAAAGGCACTGTCATGGGCCTAGGGAGACTTGGTGAACCTGAGAAGGGAATTTCTCCAGTTTTTTGTTTTTTAAAGACTTTTTCTTGAGTGAGTGAGAAAGAGAGCACACACATGAGCAGGAGTAGAAGCAGAGGCAGAGGGAACAGACTCCCCAACGAGCAGGGAGCCCGACCCATCCAGGGCTCGATTCCAGGACCCCGGGATCGTGACCTGAGCCTAAGGCACATGCTTAACTGAGCCACCCATGCGCCCCCCACCCTCTCCAGTTTTATCTTGCTACTTGTCATTGTTCTAGGGAATCTGGGGAACCAGCTGGCTCCCACTTTTCCCACTCCTCCCATCCTCAGGTATCTTTTTTTTTTTTAAGATTTTATTTATTTATTTGACAGAGAGAGCGAGCACAAGCAGGAGCAATAGGCAGAGGGAGAAGCAGGCTTCCCACTGAGCAGGGAGCCTGACATGGAACTCGATCCCAGGACTCTGGGACCATGACCTAAGCCTAAGGCAGACGCTTAACTGACTGAGCCACCCAGGTGCCCCCCCCACCACCATTCCCAGGTATCTTAGAACCACAAAGAGTTGAGGTGAGAAACCTGGGAAAGAGAGGTACTCCTTACTCTGACCTCTAATCTGGAACCAAGACTTGACCCGTAGCCTTGAGACTGTTCAAATTCCTCCAGGAGAGGACATTGTAAATGTTCGCCTAAGGGTGGCAGCGCCAACACCCCCTTACACACACACCTTGCCTTGTCTAAACTGCTGATTTACTAAGATTCTCAGAGCTAAAAGATAAAGAATGGGAAATGGCGGTGGGAAGGCTATTAAGGAGTTATGAAAGGGATAGAAGTTTCTTCTAGACATAGTGGGTAAAATATTCAATGGAGGGACGCCTGGGTGGCTCAGTTGTGGGCAACTGCCTTTGGCTCAGGTCATGATTCCAGGGTCTTGGAATCGAGCCCCACGTCGGGCTCCCTGCTCAGCAAGGAGTCTGCTTCTCCCTCTCTGCCATTCTACCCCCCTGCCCGCTTAATGTGCTTTCTAGCTCTATCTCTGTCAAATAAACAAATAAAATCTAAAAAAAAAAAAAATCATTGGAAAGCTATCCTACCAACTCATGTACTCCAATTCAATTCAGACACTAACCATTCAGCATCAGACTCCACAAGTTTAAGGGCACAGTCCCCAACATGTCTGCCCCCATTTGTGGGGTTCCCAGGCCATGTGCATTTCTGACCAACTGGTTACAAGCCCAGGGAGTTCCCAAGATACCTCAGCTTCAATATTCCACTAGAAAGACTCATGAGAGTCAGGAGTGCTATACCTACAGTTTTTTATAAAGGATATAAATCAGGAACAGCCAAATGAAGACACACAGGGCAAAGTCTGGGAAGGTCTCAAATGCAGAGCTTCATGCTCTAAACCCCATTGGGCACATCACCCTCCTGGCACATCAATGTGTTCACCAACCAGGAAGTTCCACAAGCTCTGGTGTCCAGAGTTTTTATTGAAATTTCATTATGTAGGCATGACTGAATTGGCTGAACTCAATCTCCAGTGCCCCTCCTACTCCCAGAGGATGCACAGGCTCAAAAGCCCTGACAATTCAGTGACATGGTTGGTTTTTCTTGTGACCATCCCCCAGATGATCCTAAGTCATCTCATCTCTTAGCATAAACTCAGGTGTGACCATCCAAGGGGCTCATAAATAACAAAGACATTCCTATTACTTGGGAAATGCAAAGATTTAAAGTCTCCTTTTCAGAAATCAGGGACAAAAACCAGTCAAATTCTTTATTACACAACAGAAAGGAAGAAATTTCTGGATATAAAAAATGAAGGCTTCAGGTGGCCATAAACAAGAGACAGCTACAGCCTCACACAGGCTCACATACACATCACAGAACCACCATGGACTCCCTCCCCCTCATCATCACTCTTGCGCTCACTCTCTGCCATCCAGCCTCACAGTCTCATGCAGACTCCACACAAGCAGGACTTCTGCAACCCACACACTTGCTGCTTCCAAAGATTCTACCCATTTGTCCATCTCTCTCCGTCTTCCATGGCCTCCTGGACACAACGACTCCTCTTCTCAGCATACTGATTTCGTGGTCTCCCCTGGAAAGGGGAAGGGGTAAAATGGTAACATGAGGGGCAGAGGAGGGATTAGGGAGTCTGTGAAGGAGACTGTGAGTTCAGGTCAACACCCAGGTCCGAGAGTGTACATGTGCCAAATGGGTGTGCCCTTGTGATTGTGTTCCTGTGTAGCGTCGGTATACCTGTGCATTGTGCACATTCCTGTGCAATCTATACATGAACTTGTGTGGTGTGGGTGTGGCCATGTCCCAGGTGTGCACCCGTGTAATATAGATGTGCCTGTGCCCCTGCTATTCCTGAATATGCCAGTACCCGGATGGGTCCTGGGGTCTCTGGCTGCCCTTCTCTCTAGAGGCTCTATCTCCTTTAGTCTGGGTTTCCAGAGGAAGAAGAGGACAGTGTACGTGGATGGAAAGGAAAGGAACACTAAAGCTATGACACTGGGGATAGGCGTCCTGAATTCTAGTCAGGGCTGTGGTCTTCCCACCCAAAAGTCCCTCAAGCCCTAACCCTTATGCCCACCCCACCCCCACCTCTGAGTGATGCTAACAACTCTGAGGACTTTGTCTCTTGGTGAACCAATACCCAATTCCCAGGAACATTTTTGGTGCCTTTTTGTTCCTATCTCCTTCTCATTGATGGCTGTAGGGTACTGTTGTCTTGGGGGGGAGGGTGAAGAGTAACCAGTCTCTTCCTCTCCCAATCACCTCCTCTGTCACCTGGGCCTCATCATCTTACTTCCCTTTTCCTTGCCAAGCTCCTCCCCACAAGGAAGCCCCTGAAACAGGTTTCCAGACGTGGTCCTCAGTTTCTGCTCTTCACACCAAGGCCTGCCAGGAAGCTGGGTTCCAGGACTGTTCCATTCCTTCTGATTCCAGGTTCACTGTGTTGAGAGGTAACCAGCTCTGTGCACCTCCAGACCAGCCCTGGGTGGACCGCATCATCCGGAGACTGCAGAAGAACTCTGCAAAGGCAAGCCCAGCCCTCCCCAGCCCTGCCTCCTCCCTCAGAGCCCCTGCCCAAGACCCCAACCCATGACCCTGCCTCTCCTTCCTCCCCTAGAACAAGCGCCACGGCAGTTAGCCCCTGACAGCCCCGGAGGGAGCCCTGTGTCTGAGTGAAGGGATATGAGTCTCTGTAGCCCTGGGGAACCAAGGATCAGAAGGGAGGACCAGAAAACAAAACAAAACAAAACAAAAAAAAAGAAGGGAGGACCAGGCCTCCAGTGACTGCACCAGACCTGACCCAGCCAGGACACGGCCTGGAGTGTCAGTGTGAGTGTGAGTGTGAGTGTGAGCAGGGGTGAGTGTGGCGTAGCAGAAGTGCAGCTTCTCCTCCACACCTAGACCACAATGCTTCCAGTAGCGCTCAACTTGTACCCACAGATCTCTCTGCAATCTTGTTTGTGGCCCAGGCAGGGAAGAGAGGTATGACAGGGAGAAAGAAGGTGGGATGGGGGGAAAGAGTAGTGTACCCATTTGCCACATTTCAGCCTGAGGGAACTTTCACTTATTTCTGGTCACTCCCCTACAATCCAGCCAGAAGGCTCTCTTCCTCCCTCCCCAGACTAACTGGGGCAGCTATTTCCAACCTCCAACACTGGGTTAATTGCGCTTTCTAGGCTCTACTGCAGCACCGTCTACTGCCTCCAACCAGTGTGCTATGTTTACTGTAATAATCTGGCTTCTCTACTGCTGTATACCCATTCCTAGCCTGATATATTTGCTGATTGAATGACTGTGGGCACAAAAATCACAGGAAGACAAATTTCAGCTCAGAGAGGAAGGGCTGTGACCCTCTGGCCATTAAGTGACTTGGGCAAAGCCACTCACACATCAAGTACTTCTGTAGTCTGCTCCATCTAGGCTAGGATCGCTCTGGAGACCTATTCCTCCTCAGACCAGAGTCATACAAGTGGCAGCAGTGCAGAGGGCAAAGAAAAGTAGACTGGGAAAACCGTACTGGATAACGTCCCAAAGCTCTTATCTTGCTGCCTGAGACTGAGGTCTCCAGGGAGAAAGCTCCAAAATCTGACTCTACCCCCACAAAAGAGGGTCCCGTGCTCCGTCCGCATCCTAGTTAATAAGGCCTGACTCCGCCCCTTTAGTGACAGATGGACGCTGGCTCCACCTCCAGTGACACTTTGACTCCTCCTCTGAAGAAGAAACGCTCAGACTTCGCCTCTTCCGGGTAATAGGCAAGCCCCACCCCTGGAGCGCGACGGAGTCCCTATGACGTAACGGTAACGGTCTGTTTCCGGGGTGGAGCCAGGGAGGGCGGGAGTTTAGGCTGCACCGACCCCTCAGCCCCCCTCCAGGTGATCCCAACCCCCGAAATCCTCACCCTGGGCCCCAAATATCCCAGGTCCATGACCGCAAAGCCTTTCGCCTTGACCCCCTGAATGCCCCAGGCCCCCGAGGTGACCGACCTCCTATATCCTTAACGTCTGGTGCCTCCCAATTCTTCAGTCCTACCCTGTCCCAAAGTGGCAACTGAGGCTTCCCGGGGGCACCTGCCTCAGATTACCTGAGAACAGGTCAGACTGGTCCCGAGAATGACAGAGAAGGGGACCTAGGGTTGGGGTATCCTTGATCCAATCATGCCGCTCCCCAGGAGACGTTCGGAGCCCAGGACATGTCGGGATTGAGGAGATACGAGGTGGCGCTGGAGGCGGAGGAGGAGTGAGTGGAGGCGGGTTCTGCGGAGGAGGAACCTAGCCGCTCCGGGGTGGGGGGAGGGCGCGAGTTCTCCGCGGGCGGGAGGCGTGGGGCCCCTCAGGGGGCGTGGGCTGCGGAGGGAACCGCCTCTAAAGGGCGGGGCGGAGCCTTCAAGAGAGGGGCGAGGCGTCTGAGCGGCGGAGTCTGTGGGGTCAGCCCCGCCCCGCCCGGCCCGGCTCGGCCTTCTCTCCGCAGGATCTACTGGGGTTGCTTCTACTTTTTCCCCTGGCTGCGCATGTGGCGGAGGGACAGGAGGTGAGGGGGCTGCGACACCGCGGACCCGCCCGGGGCACACGAGGCTCAGCCTCAAGGAGGATGGATGGGGGGAATCCGGGAGTCCCCTCCCTGCCTCATGCCAGTGTCGGGTTGCCCCACAGCTCGGCGCATTCCCGGGAGCAGAAGCTGGAGCCTCTACGAGGCCTGATGAGCTGTCTGTCAAGCGGCCTGGGCCCAGCCCCCCAGCGTTCGGGTCGCGGTCTCCCCCGCCGCACCCCCACCGCCACTGCCCAGCCAGCCGGTGCATTAAAGATTTAAACCGAAGCCACCGTGCTGCCCTCCTGACTCTGCCGCCGCTGCCGCCGTTCGGGCTGGGAGCCCCTCTACACGCCTGCTTTTCGTTACTGACAGGGCCTCCCTCCCTGATAGGGTGCCCTTCCATATCCAGGCCCCCGTTATTACTAAGGATCCCTCATCAGTGTCAGGCCTCCCATTACTGTCATTGACTGCCCTCCGCCACCTAACCCCCCCCGCCCCCACTTCGCTGTAAATAGCCTATATGACGGGAACTAAGTAGCCCTGTCCCGGTCTTCCTCCCAGCCTATCTCCACATTGATGTGTTCCACCTTCCTCCTAGACAGGACTTTGCCAGGTGTCTGGAGAATCTTCTTCTGAGAGTGAATCTAAACTATTGTAAGCCCAGAGTTGTAGGAAGTAGGCTGTGAGAGGAGGGGAAGATTCCTAGAGGCTGACTCCCACAGCCTGCCACAGTGGAGTGACTTGGGACTGTTGGAGGTCTTTCCTACAATTAATACCACAACTTCTGGCTCCCCCAGTCTTTTCTCAGGTTTAAAGATACTTGGCATCAGCTTACCTAGCAGTTCTTGCTCTGTCCCTAGGAGAACCCAAAGGCCACGGCTCCCTGCCACCCCTGTCTTGTTCCCCTAGTTGACCTGAAACCCTCTAGCTCCTGAAGTACTGAGGGTGAGGGACTCCTAGTGGGCCTGCTTTCAGTAAAGGACTAGGCCCGGCACCAGAAAAGTTATCCGAAGATTAAGTTAAAGAGACAACCCAATTTATGGGTTGGGGCAAAGCTAACTTTCAGCCTGGGGCTGCCCCCGCCACAGCAGATTGTGGCTGGGGAGAAGACTTGGCCCTATCTTTGGAATAGCCAAAGGGGAGAGATGGGTGCATACCTGGAAGAATTCGTTTCTTGCCTTTCCAGGTATCTAGACCAGTTGGTCCAGGAAAAAACACAAAGTATGTGGCAGACAACCAGCTGATGGAGATCTGTGATAAGTAAATGGCACCCCAAGAGCTGCACCCAAGCTCTGGGGCACAAGTCCAAACTGGAGGGTGGGAGAGAGACCCAAGGCCTCTGGTACTAGCAGTTCAAGATGGGTGACCTCTGGGTTGTGGCCACCTTCAAGAAAGGACCCAGGCTCCTGAGCCATTTCCTCAGAATGTCTACATCAAGAACCCTGTCAAAAGTGGAGTGCCCTGTGCAGCCCTGGGCCTACACCTCACCAGGACACTGTCAGAATTCCTGAGTATTCACAAGACAAACTCCAGGAAGGGGCCTTCAAGCCTCACCCTGGACAGGAAGGAGGAGAAGCTTGAGTTTTTCAGCATGGGAGGGGGACGAGTTCTTACTCTTGGAACTGATGGTCCCTCTTGATTGTTTCAGCAGCCCTGCAGCAGAAAGGTGCCCAGGACAGGTCTGAGTCCCTATCCCAAGAGAAGGCCTGCTCCTTAGAGAATAGCTGGCCACAGAGCAGAAGGCTGCAGAAGGCACTCTTACAAGAACCAGATAAGGTCTGGATTACTGGGTAATGACTCAGTTTATGTTTCAAATACAGAGCAAGACTTGAGGATTGAAATCCCCAGACCAGGAGTGGGAAGTTCTTCAAGGTGCCAGAGGCACTAAACTTAGCGGCTTGCCCCCACCATAGGCAGTCCCCAGCTTCCTGGAAAGGACAAGAGGAGGAGGAGGAGTTTTGCTTTAGGGGGTAAGGGGAGAAGGGAGTCGGGGCTGGGAATGGGATTCGGAGACAAGAGACAGGAAGGAGAGGAGAGGTTGGGGCTTTAGCAAGAAGATGGGATGCAGAATGTATAAGGGTTGGGTGGGGGGTGGGGGGTGTATTACCGGACCTGGGTGGGCAGCAGGGAAAGGCTGTAATTTGAACAAAAGAGAGGTAATTGAGCTCTTGAGTCTGATGTCTCAATAAGCCAGGATTGATTCTGGAAGCCCCAGGCCCCTGCTGGCAAGAGGCTGGCATTTCTGGGACAGGACCAGGCAAAAACAGGAAGGTAAGATTTCTTGGGTCTTTTTCCTGTTTGACAGCAGCAACCTGGCACCAAAGAACTTTATCTTCTTTCATCTTCCCACCTTATCCACCCCATCCTTCCTCCCTGTCTCATCTCCCTGGGGAAAGCAGCCCCCACCTCAGCATCCCAGAGGTACCCCAATAGCACCCAGCTTCTCACTCTGGTTGTGACTGTCCCAGCCAAGACTCATCCTCAGCCAGAAGAGCTTGCTTTAGGGGTCCATACCCATCAGTTTTTCCTGATAAGACAGGCAGGCTAGGGCAGGAAGTAAGGGAGGGGAAGATGAAGGCAAGTTGGTGCTGGCCTTCCCTCTGCTCCCACCCCACCCACAATTCCCCTATCAGAATTTGTGTGTGCCAATATGATTGTGTGATTGAATGATTGTGAAGACACAACTATGTGGGAGTGGGACTTTGAGTACAACTGGGGCTATGTGATTCTGTCTTTGGTTGTCTGACTGTGTAAAGTTGACTGAGTGGTTGAGGTGTGACTGAATGTGATTGTGGGTATGTGAGTGTGAATGTCCATCATTGGATGCCACTGTGGATACTTAGGTGCCCTTATTCAGTCACTGTACCATCAGTCGTCACATCATGCACTACCCCTCTCTCCAGCTTCTCTGTCCAGGGCTTAGAAGCCATGGGAAATGGCAGCCCTAGAAGAGGAAGGGGTCTGTGGCAATTAGGGCCCAGGAATGTCACAGGATGAGCAATACATCTTCACCTGCCTCTGACTCACCTGGTGCCCCAGGTAAAAGGCACCCAGATAAAAGGTAGGGGAGGAGGAGGAGAGAGAAGTATCCAGGCTGAGCAGCATGAAGGGGCCCTCATCCACAAGCAGCCTCCTGCTGCTACTGTTGCTGCTGAGCCCAGACCCTGGAGCAGGTGAGTGCTTGGGGGTCTAGAAGGTCAGGGATTTGGGTGAATGGGATGGAGGGAAAGGGACCCAGGAAGTCCATCCTCCAGCTGTCTGATGGAAGGGTTCTGGGTCAGAAGCCCTCTGAACACATGGCCCCATTGTCCCCTAGCCCTGCCACTGCCAACCAGCATTACCTGCTGTACTCAGCTCTACCGCCAGCCACTCTCGAACAAGCTACTGAGAAGGGTCATCCGGGTGGAAGTGCAGGAAGCTGATGGGGACTGTCACCTCCAGGCCTTTGTGTGAGCTCTGACCCTCCCCCTCATACTGACGTCTGACCTCAGTCCCAACCCCTGATGCTGATCCCAACCCCAACCCCAATTGCTAATTCTGAGGCTGACTCAGGTTTTCATCTAGCCTCTGCCTTAACCCCTGGACCCTAACCTCATCCCCACGCTATGACTATGGCTTTGGACCTTTCCTTTCCCAGGCTTCACCTGTCTCGACGCAGTGTCTGCATCCACCCTCAGAATCGCAGCCTGGCTCGGTGGTTTGAGCGCCAAGGGAGGAGACTCCAGGGGACTCTGCCTAACCTGAATTTGGGGCTGACAGGGAAAATGGACCAGGGCCCCCAGTAGCCGAAACAATAAAGCAGCATTGGACAACAGTCTCTGACTGTGGTTTCCAAGTTCTATGCATTCTCCTGTGAGCCCTGAATCTGAAGCTGGGAGACATGTCAATAAACAGAAGAACCTCCTCATTCTCTTTATTCACATCTTCACAAACCCCTCCAGGGGCAAGGCCAAGTGCCAAGGAGCCACAAATACTCCCCAAGCACCTACATGCATACATTTAGAGAACACATGTTCCCTACCTCACATACACATGGGCACACATGGACACAAACATACATATCTACACTCATTCCTCAGGTGGACCTCCAATTCTGAGATGAAATGAGAGGTCCAGCACCTTTCAGCTGGCAAGTTTGGAACAGAGTCTGACAGAACTGGGCTCCAAACAGAACCTCCAGCTGAGACCACTCCCCGCCCTCCTGCCTCCATGGGGATCTACTAGCCTGCCTGGGTTCTATCTGTCTGTCCATCCACACCAGCAAGACAGAATTATAGGTGAATCAGCTGAAGCCCTCCTGGATCATCTACAGGTTTGGGGCTCCTAGAAGAAGCAGGAGGCAAATCAAGAGAGATAATAGGACTAGATTTTGGCCCAGACACCCTGAGAATGAGGGAGGGGACCCAGCTCTGAGCCCAACACCAGGAACGAATAGGGGAGCCCAGCTCTGATTGAACCCCAACACCCTGAAGATGAAGTATTCCTAGTTCTGGGCCCAGATACATCAAGAGTAAGGGAGGGGACCCAACTCTGATCCGAGACAGCCCAAGAATCAGGGTAGACATCCAGCTCTGAGCTTAACACCCTGAAAATGAGGGGGGCCCACCTAGGAACCCCAATACCACGTGAGAGAAGGAAAGAGACCCAAATCTGAGCCCAAGGACTCAAGAATGAAAGGTCCATCCCTGAGCTCAGACATCATATGAATGAGGTGACCCAACTCTGATTCCCAACACCCTTACAATGACTAGAGCATCTGGCTCTTAATCCAGACACTCAAAACGAGGGTACACATCCTGAGTCCAAACCTCCTAGATGTCCTACTCACCTGGAAGCTTGTCCACTGGAATCACTGGAGCCAGGAACCCAGGCTTTTGGGGTCCATCCTTCCCAGCTGGTCTCAGTCTCAGCCTGGAGCACAAAAACGTAGCTGTCTCCCTGACAATTTGTACATCTCTGTCTCCTCCAAAACAGTGTATTAGTAAACGGTGAGGAGAGAAATCAGTGAAAATAATGAAGTGGGGGTTGGAGGGAGGAGGGGGGAGTTGTTCCAGAATCAGAAAGTTTCACTGGGAAATCATGAAGGGCGGGAATGGGTGTGGTCTGTGGGTATCAGAACATCTGTGTGGGATCAGAATTTGAGGGGCCCTTGGCAGTTACTTACCAGAGCCCCAGTGCCAGAGCCCCAGCTGCCAGTCCCAGGAAAGAGAAGATCCCCAAAGATGCCAGCACTGCTACCTGCTCCAGGGGGTCTCTGTGGTCTGAGAGGGAGGGTCGCATGCCACTGTGAGAGAGAGGCTGCCTGACCAAACCCTTTCTCTCCGGGGCTTTCCCGTCCTATACAACCTTTGTTCACCTGCCCAAGCTTACCAAGTGGCCGTGGGTCTGGCAGGAGGGAGGGCCTGGGGGGAGCGGGGCTGTCTGCCTGAGGCTCCTCCTCCACCTGCTTCTGTGTCTGTCCCCCAGCTGGTATCTCTTCCGGTAGGGGCCCTGAAGGGAGGTGAGACCTGAGGAGACCTGTCCACATGGGGTGGGGGCGGAAGATGGGGCCTGCCAGGGGACGCGAGGGCCTGGCTTGGACACGGGGTGCCCAGGAGGTGGAAGCTGAAAGGGTAGAGCCAGCTTCTGGGGGCCTAACGGAGGTGGAGGCTGAGGGGCAGGGCTTAAGCTGGGGCGGGGCTGTGGACAACCAAGGCTGAAGACTGGGACCTCAACGGCCATGCTTGAGTGGCAGGACATGTGCATGCAGCCCACTTGCACACCCGTCCAGCCAACAGATGTGGTGGGAGGGCCCACTGCCCGTGCCCTGGGCTCAGTCTCTCACCGGTGCTTGGAGTCCCCCAGGCCTCAGGACTCCAGGCACTCCAGGTGCCAGCATCCAGAAAGTCCCTGGCACTGACCCGTACAGCGTGGGGCAGCCCAGCCACAGCATCCGTGATCACCTCCTCCAATCCAGCCGGCTCCACCTGGGAATGAAGATGGTTCTTTGGCCCATTATCCAGGTTGTAAATGCCAAGCCTACCTGCCCCCAACCTTAGTTAGCAAAGAGCACCCCTTCCTCCCAGTCCCGTCCCTGTCAGACCGGTGGAGCTGCCTGGGCCTCACGTTGGTGGCTGGTGGTGTCAGGTGTACACCTAGTGTTTGGAAGACGAAAGTGCATAATGGTTACATAGGCTGTGCCATCAGACTGCCTGGGTTCAAATCTTTGCTGTAACACTTACTGAGTGACCTTGGGCCACTCTGTGCCTTGCTCTCTTCATTTGTAAAATAGAGGTGACTATACCTGAATAAGATAATGCATGTAAAATGTGTAGGACCGTGGCTGGCAGACAGGTGGTGCTCAATAAATATCGGGCATTATCTGAGGCAGCTGCTTCCCAGACTTGATGCTAGCCAATCTTTAACATCTTCAGAGGTAGAAATTCACTACTGTCCTCATCTGGGTATAGAATGTTTATGTGAGAATGTGCCTCTGGGTGAAAGGCACTCCTTTTCCTAGGAAAGTCATTTGTAAAAAGCTACTCCTGTCTTCCCACAGAGGGGCTGACGTCAAAGTTACAGCCCCACAGGGCAGAGGCTAGGCCTACCAGGCCCTGCTGCAAACCCCAGCACCCAGCACAAAGACTCGCCCATGGAGAGCACTCTACTGGAGGAGGTGACAGGGCTTTGGTGACCTGCCAGTGTGCCAGAAAGCCAGGCAGAATAACCAGGAACATGAAACCAGAGGCAGAAGCCATAGCCCCAGACTGGGACATATTCCAGGCCTCACCGTGGACCAGGCTGGATGCTGCACTGGACGGTACTGCAGTCGGAACTTGAGCAGAAAGTGGGGCTGGCGGGGCCAGGAGGCAGGGTACATCCAGCTGGCATGCAGGCGGCGGGGATAGCCAGGGACCGACTCGACGCGAAGCCCTTGGGGAGGGTCAGGGCGCACTGAGGGTGGTGGAGACGCGAAGTCAGGACGGGCGACAGGTACCTATCCCTTCCCCACCACCTCCCAAGGGAAGGTGGGTATATGCCTAAAGGTACCTGAGGGAGGCACTTCCAAGGGGGTTTGGGGAAATCCTAAGCTTGATCACCCTTTGGATCATCCTTTGGATCCTCAGGACTTGTCTGTCATCCTTATTATAAAATGAGCTAGGGCGCCTGGGTGGCTCAGCCGGTTGGGCATCCCACTCTTGGTTTCAGCTCGGGTCATGATCTCAGGGTCGTGGGATTGGGCCCACGTCGGGCTCTGTGCTCAGCATGGAGTCTGCTTGTCCCTCTCTAGCCCTTAGCTAGAGCTTTAGTTCCCCCCTCCCACATACGGATCAAAAGGAAAGAGGGGCCAGCAAGGGCTTACACTGGGCAGGAAGGACATGAGACACGGCTGCCTTCAGCACAGGCCCTAGAAGCAGGGGCAACTCTGGAGCTAGGCACCCAGGAAAGATTTGTGGGGCAGGCACCCAGGAAGGACTTGTGGGCTAGGCACCCAGGAAGGGGTAGTGGCAGCAGCCTCCAGAGGCTGAGGTAACCCTGCCTCCTAGGCTCTGATCTCTTTGGCTTCTTAGTCTCCACGGTAGCTACCTACGTGCTAAAATGAGGTCTATGTCAGAAGGGAACTGTTTGGCAGGTGGAGGTTCCATGTTGGGAGATCTGTACCCTGGAGTCCATTCGGGGTCTCTGAGGTGGGGATCTGAGGGGGCAGCAGGAACAGGCAGGTAGGTACTCACAGATGCTCTGCAAGCTCACGTCCAGCAGGCGTGTGCTGGCCCCCAGGGGGTTCACCTCAGTCACATTTATTCGGTACTGGCTCCAGAACTCGGCCCCATGGACTACACAGCGGGCAGCCCCTGGGGGATCCTGGGGGCATGGCCAGGGTCCTGTGGATGGACTCATCCTAGGAGGGAGGATGTGGTCTTGGGCTTTGGAAATGCTCATTGTGGGGTCTAGCTGGAACCCCCATCCTCTCCCTTATGTCCTACCTCAGGCCATCAGCTCCTGGTACGGTCTTCTTCCTGGCAGGGAGGGGGCCATCTGAGGTCAGGAAGGAAAAGAGGATCCTTCCTCTCTCCAAGGCCTTCCTCAGGACCTCGTTCACTGCCTCCCATACCCACGTTGTGCCTACACACCCAAATGTATAGGCATACACACCCAATTATGCACACACCTGTAGGAGGTGAGGTAGCGGGTGGGTAAACCGCTGACCTGACTGGGACTCCAAGTGCAGGAAAAGTTCTCATAGTCAGCTGCTTGGCAGGAGACAACAGGGCGGGCTGGGGGGTCTAGAGGCAGAAAGTGCAACTGGAGTCTGAGAAGTCCCAGGTCCTTCCCATCCTAGAGGGCTTACTCAGGGCCTGGATTTCCTCAGGAGCCCCTTGCCTCATCACTGCCACCCAATACTCCCTCCCCAACTCACAGCCCAGCTGTAGCGTCACAATGCCCCCAAGTACACCATCCAGGGTCCGGCAGATGTAGGTGCCTTCGTCAGTGCTGTCTGCCCGGGCCAAGACCAGTTCATGCCCTAGCCCAGAGTCAGGTCCCTGGAGCAGCCTTGTCTCCCCGTCCCGAAACCAGGACACCGGGGCCCTGGGGGTGAGATGAGGTGATGACAGAGGGAAGATTTAAAGTGTAAGCCATGCCACAGCTCTCCATTGGCTTCTCACTGTGCTTGCAATAAAACCCAGAGTTTTGTAAGTCCTTTAAGTTCAGGGGCTTACAAAGCCCCTGGTGATCCAGCCCTTGCCTTCCTTTCCTTCTTCAGCTCCTCCCTCTCTCCCCCTCACCCACTACACTCCAGTCACATTGGTCTTCTTTCTGTTCAAGAGTACTGAGCTC